AACGGTGAGAAGAAGTTCGTGATTGCGAACTAAGAGAATCAGTTCGCGACTCCTTCTGCGATTGTGATGAACTTTGTTTCTCAGATCACGGATGATGCCTAGTGTTCCTCGATCAGTGCCTGCTACTACGTAGACGCTCCAAGTCACGCGTTATACTGTTCAACCTAGCCTGTATCTCCTTCTCCTGTTGAATTATATTGCCTAAACTCTTTTCCATTTGTGGTGACATATAGAATGCCTCCATAACTCCAGGTTGTTGATGCTCTGGGATGATCGATGATTCAGATTCTGTCTCCAGGAACCAGCGTGCTCTGATACCACTGATAGAACTCTCCCAGGTTTGCATTGAAATCAAAGTAAGAGAATAGTATTCAAGAAACAACTGAAGCTTTCATTAATGGTGGAAAGTGTACAGAGAACTCCCAAGAAACGAGATACCAGTATCTCAGCTTCTCCCAGCCCAGAGATTCTAACTGTCTAACAGCCTACTTACTAACTCCCCTCTCCCAGCTATTTATTCTATTCAGAATACAATCAGAGATTACACCTCAGCTTCCCGTAATGCTTATTATCATTATTAGTACTAGCAGCTTCACTCGGGTGTCTATCAAGTTACAAAGTAGTAACACCCGAGCTTTTGAGATCAGAAGCAATTGTTCTAACCTGTTGGTTGGTTGACAAGGTTTTTAAAACATAGGGACTCATCATGTAAAACTGTACTTGGACATCGTCTGCTACATAAGGTTCCCAGCTTGTTCCAGACCATTCATAAATCTCAACAGAGAATTCCTTCCAGCCATAGTGAAGCATCAATATTGAGTTTTCCAATATATAAAGTTCTAAATACAATGTACTACGTATATACATAATACTCAAGATGTTTTCACATAAACTGGTTTAGTCTCAGACAAGGCCAGGCTTAAACAAATCAGATCAAACCATACTTGATTTCAAAATAGTAAAATACACATAATACAAGACGAAAAAAGACGAAACCACAGTCCAGACCGGTCTTAAAAGACCACATGAGATCAAACCAAAAAAAAATAGTCCAAGTAAAAACATGCTTACACATCATGAATACAAAATTAAAATAAATTACTGTGTCATCGCTGATCCTGTACATAGGAGGTTCGTCTGCTTGACCAACATTATGATGTCTAAGATTTATAGCCTAGAAGTCAAAACATGTATAATCACATGATTGGTTGGTTAGCAAATACCCCGAGAAATATGGAAATGGACTCTTTCAGAACAAAACATCTGAACCTTGAGATGGCCTCTTTCATGGAAGACCCACTTACTAATTTCAGTCAGAAACTGTTCAATCCCAAATTTATCATGCCTACAGAATAAACCCAATAATATAAGCACCAAGCTATTTGAAAGAACCTATTATTCCAGACGTTGCTTAATGCTAACATAGAAATAAACTCATTTACTTACCGAGTTGGGTTTCCAGCTTTCTGAACCCCGGATCTAAAGAATCTGCAACCCAGGAGATGTAATAACAGGCAGACACTGTTTCATCAGTTAATATAGAAGCATAAAACAATTGATGAGATGCTTACCGATTGCTAAACATTCTTAAAGAACCTGCTATCAGAATTCGAGCATATTTCTAGCCTGCAAAGTTAAACGGGTTGATATTTCTGTCACTTCTCGAGTTTGTAAGATATCATGTCATTAAAAGAGAAGGCCTGGTTATTGTTTTAAAATGCTAATAGAATAACCAAATAATTATGTAAATGAAATTTCCTACAGTAACAAAATCTACATCCATTTTCAAGATAAATTAAAAATTACTCCCTCCGTCCCAATTTGATGATACCATTTCTTTTGGGCACGGAGATTAAGAACGGGCATGGAAATTCCAAAATTGCCCTTATTTTTTCCCATTCCCTTACGTCGCTCTTCTTCTCTACCGGTCTACCGCGACTCCCCTGCATCTTTCTTTTCCATTTCCCTTCATCCATTTTCTTTCCTAGTAGGACTCCCCTACCACTATCAATCTCCAGACTACTCTTAAATTAAGAGAGGAAAATCAAATATACCTGCGGCCTCTATTATTGAACAAAGCAAACAAAAAGAGAGGAGAAGGAACCAGTCAAATTACGTAGAGATCTATGGCGGTTAAAATTGTCTGAAATAATTAATCAGGTCTCCGTAGTTAATTAAGCTTTCATTTACAAACCCACCCAAAAAATGAGGGTTCTTGCTTCTGTCAGTTCTATGGCCGCTGGTGCTTTAAGAGAAGTTTGGAAAAGGAGACCAACTTCGTATTTAGAGGGGTGGAGACGGGCACTTCATATAAAGGTAGGGTTGCCGATGTGGGGGGAAAATGGGGAAGGGTTGGGCCAAGAATAGGAAGGGTAAAATTGAAATTGAACATCAATCATTTTGCCAAAAAGGGAAATGGGACTATCATTTTGGGGCACCCCAAAAAGGAAATATGGTGCCATCAAATTGGGACGGAGGGAGTATCATATTTCATTTTCGATTGCATTTTCCAAAGCAAAACCTATATATGGATAAAACAACTTCTCACAACACTTTTTCCCTTTCCCCGTACTTTTTTCCTTTCCCTGTACTTTACATACCCTAAAAGCCTAAAGGAAAGAATGTCTCCAATGAGCAAGAGGGTAAAACAACGTTCTTACCATTGCACTTTAAGTTGAACTCAAACTCCCTATTTGAATAAAACAACCTTCTTCATTTTCAATGGGGGTTGTGAGGGAAACCATGGAGGAAGAGCCAGAGAGGATCTACTTAGAAGAAGAGAAACAGACCTGGACAACTGAAACAAGAGAGATTGCAGAACCAGTGAGCGCTGGGGGGTTTGACAACTTTGACCCTGGATTGGCTGAATATGCTGCTGGCGGTGCTGATAAAACCTTTAAAACCTGCATATATGGTGATTGGTGAGCTTGTTACTATTAAGACATAATAGTTGTTTGAGGGGTGCACATACATCATCATGCATGGTTTATATATATTTATTATTTGCATTCTTGAACACGTATGGGAGGAAAAAGCTTACCAAGCCATTCGTAGGATTTACAGAATGAGCAATCCCATGAAAAAGTATTGGCACCTGCAGTAGAAAGCATTCAAAAATTTCAGAGAAAAATAAAAACAAATCTGCAGAATATTCCCAATAACAAAAATCGTCTTACAGTTGATGAGAGGACGATGTAGATAATAAATAGCTCATACCTCCATTGTTTTGCTTCCTAGAATAACTTCAGATTGAATGAAATCAGAGGCAGCGATCAACCTATGATCCCCATCTGTGTCAGACACTGCATAGCTTTTGTGATCAATAACTGAAGCTGCAGGGTCCTATCATTATGCATTTATTTATAATTAAAAACAGTTAGAAAGAGTAAAATCCATAAAGCATGAATATAAAGTAATGGGATCACAAGAAGAGGCCAAGAGAGTATTTCTCCCTGTACTCTTAGGTCACTAGTTCAGCTCCTAAAGCTCCCAATAGGTCCATTGGAGGTCTAATGGGAGCTAACCTGAGGTCTCATGGGATTAGTCGACCAAAATGGTCCGAACATCCACTGTAGTAATAATAATATTCATAATAACAACAATTATTATTATTACACTGCGTACATATAATTATAGTAATAATCATAATTATCATAAATATAGAAAGAAGAAATATTGTTAAGTATCCTATTATCTTGCAAAATGCTAGAGTAATGAGTACCTCATCAAAATCAACTCCACACTCAGTAGCTATTTCACGGATAAGATAAGATGCAAAAAACATCAGCTGCCAGTATCAAATTACGACCAGAATCCACAAAATTCAATATTGCTGCAGCATCAACATTCCCTCCAAATCCTAACCAAAAATATTAATAATAACAGAAATCAAAACATGACAACACTGACTACCACAGCTCACACATTTCCAGCGGCATTGCATTTATAGTTATCCAGGTGAAATTTGTTGAAGTAGTCACTGTCAACGGATGTAACAATTAATGAACGAGATGTATAGTCAAAGAGCGGACTCACAGTCAATGGAAGGGGAGAAGAGAATTAAAGCTTCGTATAAATACTGGCCGTATCTTTGCAAGGAGATCTTTGGATCCCCGGCAAGCTTGAATTCGAGATTGTATCCCCGATTTTCTTACCAAAATCGTATGATACCAAAATCGTCGAGCAGAACCAAAACTCAATTCGAGGATTGGTATGACTGTCCGGCGAGAAACCACTGCATGTAACCGCGATCAAGCTCACGACCAGCGTTAGTATTAATCTCATGAGCATTGCTGAAGCTTAACTGATGTATCCAAGGATTTTAGCAAATGTAATCAGCTGGCCTCTCAACACTCTGCAGTAACAGCTCCTAGTCCTATTACACTAGTAGTGCACTACCAGGACCACTTCGTTTCAAATGGTGTGTTTGCAATTCATAAAAGTAATACTCGTACTAAGCATTTCGTACTTTTCTGAATAGACCTATTAATAACTCAGTCTAAAAAAAATGGGAATATTCTTCTAAATCTATTATAGTATCTATTCTTGTTAAATGTTAATGTCAACATCTTTGATTGGGAGGAGACTCGAACCTGCGACCTCCTCTTTGTGAGCTCAGCATTGATGTCATCAGAATTATGATCCACATTTTATGATATGAATATGTTCTTTTTTGAAACTTCAATAATACGTAGCGTTGTACTAATCAAAATTATGACCTACATTTTATGAAATGATAAAAAAAATGCTGGTTTCTTATTATCATTGACATTTTATTGTATAAAAAAGGCCAATTTACCTGATATATGCATACTATACAGGCTCGGAAAGTACTCAAGTACATAACAGTATTGGACATTTGTCCTAAAACTAACACCATATATATATATATATATGGGAGACGGATTAAAAGCGGTGTTTGGGTGATCATCTATTAGCAATTATACATCACTCATTATTTCATTAATAGTTCATTTAGATGAATAATTTACACTAGAGTCCTGGTTTACATCCAAATAGCTTAAAACGAAAGATCAGTGCTCAAAATATCTACTTCACAAGCATTTCCATAAGACATCCAGAGGAATAAAATCAATTATTCACATTGCTTTCTTTATTGTAGTGAAAGGAAGCTTACATGGCCAAAAAACTAGTTTTCTGACAAACTAAAAAGATACGGAGTAAAAGATATTAGAAAGGCATTCAGAAAACGCAAGTCTTCACTCAACCCAGAAACTGCACCTATGGCTTTGATTGATTCTTAATTAGAGACTCATACTTAATCATTATCAGATTCGGAATTTTCCTCCCTACTTGCCCCTGCTTCAATCGCACCACTTGCTTGCCCTTGTCCTGGCTGAATGGAATCTAAAAAATAAATTTGTCATTTGCTTGTTTTTCATTTTCCCTCCAATGGAACAGAGGTTTTAAAAAAAAATAATGATGAGGTTGTTTGTATACTTACTGGTACTAGGCACCCATATCTTCATCAGCATTGTCTTCACAAACTGGAATTCTTCTTGATGGAGACTGACGAACCTAGACTGAAATTCCAGGAATAAAATCATTGTCAAGTTTAGCTATTGCTTTCTAGATGCAAGTCTAATTTCAAATATAAAACAAGGCTCTTATAAAGCAACAAGAGTTTTGTGAGATCTGACTTTCGCCACACTTGTCACTTTTCAACTAAGAGGCCAATACTTTGTAGCTGTTTTTAGCTAAACCTTAACTTAAAAAAAGTATTGTTTTCACAACTTGCAAGTAATAGTTTATACCCCAAAATTATTACTCCCTACGTCCTAAATTCATCTTGGGGTCATCCAAAAATGATCTTCAAGTTTCCTGTTATGGAAAGAACGGTGTAGGTGATAATTTTTTTGTCTTTTAACTATATCCTAACCACACAATTTTAATTTTCTTGATAAGCATACAAATCAAATCAGAAATATTAATTGTGGATGGAGGGAGTTTTTTTGCTGAATGTGATAGGTCTCACTGATTGACCGTTGATAGAGTAATTGTTTAGAGAGAAGTGAGAGCTAGAGAGAGAAGTGAGAGCTAGAGAGAGAAGTGCAGTAAATGCTTCAATTAATGATTTTGTCAACCCCTACAACTACTCCCAAAGGGAGTACTTATAGGGAAAATGTGGACTGGGCTCCCAAGTCTTGGGCTTAGGAGGCCCATCTACAACTGGACCGCTACTGGGCCGAATACAAGATATGCAGAAATGACTAAGTATGAAATTCTGTGAGTTCTTCGTGTCCGACGGAGGCATGGCCGACGGAGACCCGGCCGACGGGGGCACCCGGTTCTCTTGGCTTCTGGACCATATTCTGAGTTGATGTCTCCCTGACCGATGGAGGTCATCTGGCCGACGGGGATCCTACAAGGTGATGGTTGTGCCTTCTGTTCTTCTGAGTACGTGGGTCCTGGGGCCTGGACCCATATACTCCATCAACCGTCACATTCTACTTTTTTTGCTGGGCTGAATTATTAGGAGTAGTAGAAAGAGTTGTATTACATAAAAAGGAAGATACATTTTGAAAATGGTAGTGTGTCCCTTGGGATTGTTAAATGGGGATCATGCAATGATGCAACACAACTTATGCTAATTAATTAATTAATTAAATTAAAAATGAAAGAATGTTTACCATTTCACCATATAAAAACCAAATTATTTGGTCAAGCCTAGCTTGATGCTTCGAAAGGAATGGACGAAGATGGTTCATATACAACGTCTTTGCACCCTACCAAATAGCAAATATCAGGAAGGGTGTGAATGAGTGACCTCTTCCTATTTTCGCATTTAGCTAAATATCTAGAGAAACTCCTACATATATTTACACATAAAAAAGAGAGCATTGAAGGTGGACTTACATCAATACATGGAAGTTGAAGCCAAACAAGAAACGCAAACTTCACATGATAGTATAAAGGAAACCTGACAGTATTGAAAATGTTGAAGTATTCATAGATTAAGGACTTAAGGTCGGTAAAGTGAGATTTCTATATTACTATATCAGAAAAAACTGAAAGGGGCTTAAAAGATAAGAAAGTGGGCATATAACATGTACCAGTGAAGAAGTTTGTCTGTGAACAATTCGACTAAACTAAAAGATCCATAAGCTGCAAGCAAAAGTAACAAACGTCCTTGGTTCAAACAGAAACTTAAAGAAAATCCACTCGAGAAACTGTGGCAAAATTGTTTGACAAAACATTGAATGCAACTGCTTGTGAATTCGTTTTCTTTAGATTCATAAGATAGTAACTACGTGATCTCTTCTGAAATATTTCCCTTGTATTGATTACTGGACCCCCTCCCCCGCAAATAATATAAAAAAAAGACAAACACACAAAAAAACAAAACAAATATCTTACTGTGGTGGCAATAACACTATTTCTGTTTCACAAACAACAACATCCAAGCTTTAGTCCCAAAAGATGTTGGCTAAAAATCTGTTGGTCATGTTCAGTATCAGTGTCAGCTTTCAGTTTCTTGTTTTACAATAATCATACTTATACTAGTCGTGTTAATTATGAAAAATGCCGACAAAAACTGAAACAACTTTTTCTTCATTAAAAGTTTAAAACGGAAAAGGATACAAAATGAGTCCATAATTTTGCAACCCAGACAATTCATCAAAAAGAATTAACAACATTACCAACCTGCCCAGTACATGAGCCATTTTTGTTGTTGATCTTGATCCCTTTGTTCAATTGCTTTAAATGTAGAATAAACAGGTAAGATAACACCAACTGAACAACTGCAGAAACCACACAATACTGAAGCGTCATCCGTGAAAGTTGTACAATGTTCAATCCATGAAAAGAATATTCTCATTTTAGCAGTCAGTATTATATAGGTATGCTCTTTGGTTGAATACTTTCTACCACGAGTCTTGTTTGTCACTGCATGTTTGGATACTTACAGCAGGCAAAATCTGTTAACACTCAACTACTATACACTAATACACAGTGCAGCGTTGTGAGCCGTTCTGTTAGCCTTTTTCTTTACTACTTACATAGCATGGAACTCCAGGTATGATATATATTTTGAAAAGAAATGACATCCTCCTTTTGTGATATGGAGGTGCAGATCAAAGTGTTCGTAGACAAATTTACGTAGACTTATATCTTTCTGAAATGGTTATATTGACTTTTTTCTTTTTGCTTGCCTATTTGGGCTTATGTATAGCCACTGGGTAGTTTCTGGGTAGCTTTGAAGATGCTGTTATGGTTGGTACTACTAGTTCATGGCTTTTGAACTGGTACATATATTTTTAGTCCATTAATCTAGTTTGTCATTCATCCAAACAAAATGAATAAATACAATAAAAAGAACTGTAAAATCTTACCATGCTGTTCGAAGAACGACGTTAGAGCCAATTGGACAAAGAAGTACCCGCAACCCAACCTAAACCAATAGGACCCACACATTATTAAAAATGAGAACTTAGGCGTCAAACAGAATTGTTAAAGCAACTAAAAGTGTATCATTTGTTGCAACATCACTAATCACATCTGAAAATGATGAAAGAGCCACGATCTTCCATTTACCCCCCCCCCCCCCCCCCCCCGCGTTGCAAGGCCACAAAAGAGAAAACAAACAAACATTCAACACTTTAAATGTAATATTACATTTCATCTAGCTGTACTTATTGCAGACAAGGAAACACATGTAATTCTCAGAAAACCATGCAATAAAAAACAATTACTTCTAAGAAATTGAAAATGGAGTGGAAGTGTGAAGCTAATCAAACAATAGATACTAAGTACCAATTATCAACTCATCAAGAAGCTGGGCGGCTGGGCGCTATAAGTATAATACGGGGAACATGAATTCAATGATTGTAACAAATCGCAATTAGGTGTTGGTAAAACTCATGAAAACGTGACTCAATCCTGAATGTAAAACTACTTGTAACTTTACTTATGTGTAAGGTGCAATGAAACAACAGGCACAGCTCAATCCATACTCCACAACTCCAGTTATTGATAGATTAGGATTCTTAATCTAGAAAATTAAAGATTCCAATAGGAATAATTGGATAGTTAAGAGCTCATTTTGGATTCTTTTTAAGCATGTAATTTTTTTGCCAGATTTAAAACATAGTAATTTGTTACTTGTATTAATACAGAAATGGTTTTAAAGAAGTTGTAATAGTTAATTTTTTGCTTTCACAATGTTAAAAGCAAACACATACTTAAAAGTGAGTGTTGCTAGACCTTTAATGCATCATAGCACAATTAATCCCAACATTTAGTCCAAATACTTGGGGGTAATGGTACTGTGAATTTTCCTGCTTACTCAACAATTTTAATGCCACAACCTCCAGATTTGAAATCTCGAGAATCAATTTCATTATATACAAAACTAAGGCTACGTTTACAGCATACAATATAATGGGGAAATTAAAAAGAATGCTAATGAATATTGTTGTTTATATTTAATTTTACCTTAGAAATTAAGAAGGAATATCAACTTCAGTTCAAACATCTTAACTTTAAAATATTTAAACTTCTTAATCATTATAGAATAGAAATATATATATGTAGACGTAAAGTAAGTTTGAGCAACTACCTAAGATTAATAGATTGAGTTAGAAACGATCTTTATTTCGCTCAAACGGAACTACATATAAATTACCTAGCATTTTCCTGGTTCTAAGCAGCCCTAGAGATTCAAAATTTTGAAAATAACCAACATAAATTAATTAAAGAAATTGTTGTCTCTGCTATAATAATTCGTATAGGAAATTCGTAAAACATAGGATTAAGTCAACTCGACCAGGAATAATTCATGCCTAAATAATAACACATACAGGTATGTGTAAGAAATTTGATACCTCCATGAAGAAAAGATATATTAAAGCTTCCTCTCTATGGTGTTGAGGCAAGGGCTGTCATCAACCACAAGACTTTGGAAATTCCTGCGTCCTTTCTGACAGATTGACATGCATTGTTAAACTTGAAATCCTAACAAATCTTTTTCAACTGACCAATATACAAGACCAACTATCTATGAAAGGTAAAGATATTATTACTATGAATTCAAAAATAATCCAATACTCAATAAAAACGAATTTCTTTAATATATAGGCTGCTGCACCGCTCATTTATTCATGAAAGTATAAAGGTAACATTGTTATGTTATTGGTCTCTTATGGGCTCTCTGTGGTCATATTGCAGTAATAGCCGGATTGCCGGAAGACCCAAACGGCTCATACTTGAACAATCGGCAGCAAAGGTATACGACTGGGAAAGGGAATGTGTCGTTTAAGGAAAGGTTTACAGAAATTTTCAACAACGAAGAAAAATCAGCCGCAAGTATACAGAAATTTTCAGCAACGATGAAAAACCAGCCGCAAGCATACATAAATTCTCCAGAACGAAGAAAAGGATGAAAAATCATAACACTTTTCACAGCAAGATGGTGAAGAAATATGTACTAACCCTAGATTGATGCAGCTGTTCTTGATTTCCTTCTATGTCCGGATGTTATCTTGAATTATGTCTTGGTGTCCAGAAAGAAGAAAGGATGAAAAATTATAAGGAGTAAATTTTTTTTTTTTTGGACATTTTAAGACATATTAATTATGTCAAATCCGGTCTTATCAAATTATGATTTCTGTGTATTTTAAAAATGTCAAAATCTGATCTGGTCTTAACTAGACCAGTACGATTTGGTCTGGTTTGGGACTAAAATAAGTCCAATTAAGAACATTCAAAAAGGTGAAAGCGTATTAATTAAAAAAAAGTAGAATGATGGTCTTATTTGTTCACCTTGAGTATGTTTTAGTCTTATTTAAGAAAATTTATCTTACTTGTTTTTACAATGATAAAAATAATTAAAATTACTTGCAACCCTAAATAAAAGGAGTTTGAAAAAAAAAGAGAAAAAAAAAGAAACTTTGTATCGGCCCACCCTGACCTTCGCTCCTATATGGCTATATGTGACAGACGACTTTGGTAAAGGTATAAAAAATGGATGGTGTGTTTTAAATGTGTTACCCAAGTTCGAACGAGGTCAATCGTATTCAATGAGTTCGATCAAGTTTGACATGCTGAATCAAGTTTAAACTTCGATCAGGTTTAAGGTCGTCAAACTAGTTTGAAGTTCTGTCGGGTTTGGCATATTTGACCATGAGGATCTATAATACCTAGATCTAGAGAGAAGATGGAGAGAATGAACAAAGTAGAGAGATAAAGTGTATAGTATCAATGAATTCAAGTCAGGGTTGATCTAGAGAATACCGGGCTAGGTCCAATACAACATACATCAAATATGAATAGGACCCTTGGGCGTACAAAATGTCATTGGGCCGATACAAAACCGGCATTCTCAGGTACCCCCGGTCCAGGATAATAGATATCCAGCATGAGTCACCCACTCCCTAAGGCGAGAAGACTTCGAGGTGAAAGGGAGTAGTCCAAATGCTCTTTGAACTACCGTTATCGCTCTTTGATGCCATGCTCGGTTCGGAAAGGATCTCCACCCGTGCCTGCGATGAGGTGATGCCTCTTTATAAAACCTCTGCCAGAAAAAAAAACCTATGAGAAAAAATTCCTGACCGGGGAAAAAGAGTGCACCGGCCTCAAAGTGGATGTAGGGGAAAAGTGCACATTATGTCGAGCTGAGAGGTGATCAGACGAGGATGACCTGGACCGGTCTTTGAATAAGCAACGAACGGTCTCCACCCATGAGGAGGAGGACTTAGACCGGTCTTCTTCGATGCCAAATGTGTCATGGTGCACCCAAGCTCGTCTAGTATGAGCTCAGCATCGCCTGGTATGAGCTCAGCCTCAGCAGGAATGAGCTCGGCCTCGCCTGATATGGGCTCAGGTTCGTCTAGTATGAACTCAGCATCGTCTGGTATGAACTCGGACTCGGCGGGAATGATGAGCTCGGCCTCGCCTAGTATGAGCTTGACACTGTCTTATATGAGCTCAACTTCATCCAAGCTCTTGGCTTCATTGTTCTTTGTCGCTCATCTTTTGCTTACTCGGAGATAATAAGTCCCGCACTCCTTAAAGCGAGTGAAGACGAGATGAAAAGGAGTATAATAGTCATCATATGATGTGCCCCATGTATAGGCCTCGACAAATTGCCTTGCACAATATAAAGTTCATGTCACTAATCATTAAATAAAGATGATAGACATATAGACTAAATAAATCAAAATATATAAAAATCAAGTTATTGAATGAACATGACCAAAAGATGGGCAGAGTTAATCAACCAATACAATCAGCAGTAAGCAATAGATCGAGTCGTCAAATAAAGACCGAGAGATGGACCTCAATCTATCACAGTGAAGAGACCAAGTCATTAAATAAAAATGATCGGGGAATAATCGAGTGAATCGACCATAAAAAATAAACCATGTCACCAAATAAAGATGACCGAGAAATGACCAAGTTAATTGATCATAATAAATAAACCATGTCATCAAATAAAGATGATTGTGAAATGACCAAGCTAATTGATCATAATAAATAAACAGACCATCAAATAAAGTTGTAACGTGGGAGCGTCAGTGATGAGGGGTCGGCCCCAAACATGAACACGATGGTTACCATCCTGGAAGGGAACAGGGAGCCCGATCTTGAGGTCACGACGTCGGCACTCAGGAGCTGGCCGTAACATGGGAACGTCTGTGTTGAGGCGCCGGTCCCGAAGAAGAACACGACGGTCACCATCCCGGAAGGGACAATCGTGATACCTGAGGAGCCGATTTAAAATATGACGACGAGGTGATAATGAGTCGATCGTCATACGTAGGCAACGGTCACTATCCGGGAAGGGAATAGCGAGCCCAGTCGGTAGCTCAAGACATTCGGCACTAAGGGGCTGATCTTGATAAAGATGATCACGTTGAGGCCGAGTGGCCCACTGTGTCTTGAGGTAAACGATCACGTTGCGGCCGAGGGACCTGCCGTGTATTGAGATAAATGATCATGTTGAGGCCGAGGGGCCCGCCGTGATGCAAGGACATCAGCATTGAGGAGCCTGTCCGGAATCTAAGCAACGGTCGCCATCCGGTAAAGGAATGGCTAAGACCGGCCTTGAGATAAATGATGACGTTGAGGTCGAGGGTCCTGCGGTGATGCAAGGACGTCGACATTGGGGGGTCCAAAAATCCAAGCAACAGTCGCCATCCATGAAAGGAATGGCTAAGACCGGTCTTGCGACGGTGCGAAGCCAGTCCTATCCGCGTCACCAAATAAAGGTGACTAGGAGGTACACGATCGCCATCCATGAAAGGAATGGCTAAGACCGGTCTTGCGACGGCGCGAAGCCAGTCCTATCCACGTCACCAGATAAAGGTGACTAGGAGGTACACGATCGTCATCTATGAAAGGAATTTATAAGACCAGTCTTGAGATGACACAACGACGCGGAACCGGTCCAAAATATGAACACAGTGCTTGCCATCCCGAAGAGGAATAGGCGATCCTGATCATGAGATCACGATGTCGGTGTTAATGAGCCAGTTGTGAGATGAAGATAAGGTGTTGTGAGCCTTTCTTAAGATGATTTCGCCAGCCCTGAGAGGATGACCAGAATATAATGACGTTGGAACTAAAAGGTCGGTCCAAAATATGATGACACCGGAGGTGAGGCATTAGTTGTTAGATGAATACAAGGCGTTAGGACCCCATCTGAAAATGATTATGTCGACTCTGAGGGGGTGGTCGTAATATGAGGACCCTGACACTGAAAGGCCGGTCCTATATATAATTAACGGTCATCATCCTTGAGATGAGAGGGTGAGACCGGTCTTCAGCTGAATTGATGATGGTCAATATGAGCCCTCGGTGTACGGCACACCCCCAGGCCGAGAGGCTAGCCCACTATTTAGGCATTCCCCGCCAATGAACCGTTTAGGGACAAAACCACTTTAATTCTACCGCACGAAGTCCCTAGCAGGCTAGTCTACTTTAAATTGTTTGATGGATGGGTCGAATGGGTAAAGTTGGGTGTTGATTGAGAATGTCTTTTTGGCATTTATCACTATAATGTGGGAGAGGGTCCCTCCTCCCTTCTCATTTGTCTCTCAATCAACTTCTCCCTTCATTTCATGACTCCTAATTCAGCTCTAGTACCCCTTTTGCAAGACTAAAAACGTAGGGTGGTCCCCACTCATGTGGGAGGTCATCCATTTGTACCTCGAGTTGTGTTTGCGTTCACAAAAGTTGTATTCACGGACTGTTTTAATTAAATTATACTTTATCAAAGAAAACTATGACAAACTTCCTTAAGAAAGGCATTAAAACCCGGTTCATCAAAGCCTGGAAGGGTGACAGTGTGTTTGTAAGTCCAAATGGCATGACTAAGTATTCACAGTACCCCTTATGAGTTCTGAAAGCGGTTTTGTGAATATCTTCTTCTTTCATGCGAATTTGATGGTATCCTTACTTCTCCAAAGTTTATAAAAGAAAAGAAGAAGGGGTAATTGAGTCAAGTGATATGAGGGAATCAAATAACTGATTGGAGTTGCGTGGAGGACAGATCTTGGCAGAGAGAATTTTAACGCGGAGAAGATGGAAGGGGGATGCAGGCAAGAATTCAGTTAGACCTGGGATGTGGGAGGGAGAGAGACACTCTCAGATTTGTCTTGTTCATGTTATGTTTATTCTTAGTACTAGTTTCATTTGCAGTAAGTTCTGAACTTTAAGTTTTTATTCCAGTAATATTGACAGTAATATATTAATATTTCTGCGGATTGGAGAGGTCCCTATCATTTTATTGTCTTTGACTAATGTTTTCCAAGATGCATGGGGTTTACTGAGATAAGGATGTCCTTGTAGCTGTTTTTCTTGATCTCCGTCCTTCCATTTTATGGTGAGCCTTTTAAAATTGGCTTCCAATTTTCCCAAACCTGCCAACCACTCCCATCCCAACACCAAATCAGTCTCTCCCATTTCCAGCACATAAAAATCTTGAATGATTAACATGTTTTGGACTTCCACTTGTAATTTCTCACATTTCCTTGATTATGTATCAAATCTCCATTCCCCACATCCACTTGAAAACCCCTAATTGTGGTCACAGGAATATCCAAATTCTGGACTAAATCTTCAGATATAAAATTATGAGTGGCACCACAATCAATAAAGATCGTTACTAGTTCACCCTTCACCTACCCCTGCACCTTGAATGTTTTATGTGTAGTAATTCCCTCTTTGCTCAAAATAGATAGTTGCATGGTCGTGCTTTCTCCTTGCTCTTTGACATAATTGTCATCATATGGGGTGGTTGCTCCTTCCTCGTCTTCTTTTGGGTCTTCCATGAGCACAAGGTGGTAATGTTTCAGCTCACACACATGCCCTTACCCCATTTATCTTCGCATTTAAAACACGTCCCCTTACGACTCCTCTCCTGTAACTTCGCTTGGGTTAGTTCAAGCTTGTAATGGGTTGTAACACTTGAGATTTAATTTAAACGGATTAATAGTACTACTCATACCAACAAGGTGCATCTCCCTTTAAGGGAGCTCATTAGCCAAGAACTCAAAAGTTAAGCGTGCTTGTACGGGAGTAGTCTTGGGATGGGTGACCCCCTGGGAAGT